TTTTTTTTTTTGTACCAGGAATTGAACTCATGACCTTGCTTTTTGCAGGCTAGCTCAATGTCACTGACTATGTCCCTGGCCCTAAGAAGGTCATTTTAAAGCCAAGGTGTATAGGTTTCCTCACCAAAAAACCATGTATTTTTGAAACCTCACATTTTAACATTAGACTTTGAGATGTTTCACTTGAAACTTAGAAAAATGTCAGTTACATGAGTTTTTAACAAGCTAATAATTGAACAAAGATACAGATGCTCCTTGACTCAAGATGGAGTCAGGTTCCCAGACAGGAACCTCCTAGATGCTGAGGGTGCATGTACCTCAAGTAGCTTCCTAAACACTAGCCCAGCGACATAGTCAAGATGGAGGACTGGCCATTTCTCCTACTCACCCAGCTGCCACCCCACTGCCAGGAGATCCCTGCCTCGTAATCGCTAGCCCAGGAAAAGATCCCAGCTCAGAAGTTGAGGTCTGGGTGCTACTGAAGGTGAGCTGCTTTCACGCCGTCTTAAAGCGGAAGAGCTGCAAAAGGGGCGCGGCAAGCGGGACACGACCAGAGCCTCCTCTCTCCGGGGGATGCCCTGCGTCTAACATAGCAGCAGTGGCAAGCGGGACACGACCAGAGCCTCCTCTCTCCGGGGGATGCCCTGCGTCTAACATAGCAGCAGTGGCAAGCGGGACACGACCAGAGCCTCCTCTCTCCAGGGGATGCCCTGCATCTAACGTAGCAGCGGTATTTTGTGTCGGGCTCATTTCCGGCACAAACTTCCCTTTCAAGGCCTTGGTTTTGGTGTAACAATTCGGGCATAGATTCCCTATGTTTTGGCTTAATCTGCTTCAGGAAAAGTCACAATTTCTAGAATCGATAATAAGAGCTGTGTCCATGCAGCGCACCTTTCCAGCCGATCATGAAAATGACAACTTTCCAAGCCCTCACCTTCTCTGGTTTCCTGTGAGTGAGGTCAGTGGCTCCCCTCTGTACTCGCAGGAGCGTCTTTCTTTCTGTGGGACTGGAACGTAGGGAGCGGTGGGGGGCTCCCAGACAGTCTTGAGAGCTGCAGTGATTTATTGTGGTGTAGTCAGCTACCGGGCAGACCAGACCGTGCGAGGCCACACAGGGTATGTCTGTTAAAAAGCTGGAAAGAGTCACCTTGCAGGAAACTCCTTTCTCAGCAGATCACAAAGGTCCTTCGCGACCAGGCTTCTTTTATGTACTTCTGCAGAATGTAGTGCTTGCTGTAACCTGGGGCGGGGGGTGGGGGGGTCCATATGCCTTTTTTCCTTTCAAAGTTATCTTTGTTGGGTCAGGGGTATAGCTCAGCAGCATGAATGCCTGCCTGGCAAGCTCAAGGTCCTGAGTTTGATCCCCTGTACGGCAAAAACAAAACTGTCTTTGTTTTGTAATTGTTATGCATACCATTCTTTTAAAAATTGAAAGTGATATTTTCACAGCTTTGCAGCAGCGCCCAAGAGAACCCTCCAGACTGATGTCCCAGCTCCAGTGTCCTCATGATTCCTCTTCTCTTGTGTTTTCAGAGTAAAGATGGCAAAAGCCCGCTGCACATGACGGCTGTCCACGGGCGGTTCACGCGGTCACAGACCCTCATTCAGAATGGTAAGAGGGACGTGCCTGCCGGGTCTCTGGGGCAGTACTTTCTCGATCTGACTGAGTTTGGCTGGATGTGGTCTGGACGTGAAAATCGCTGCTGTGTTTGGAGTGTGACTGAGCATGGATTTGCACGGCTTTTGATGTCCTTCGCAGCACGCTCATGAGCTGCTCCTCAGTGTCCTCCTTAGCGGGGAGGACGCAGACCGCCGCTCTCCGCCAGCTTCAGCCAGGCCAGGGGCAGGCGGGCACACAGATCCTGGGCTTTTTACTCCGGAACAAATACAGAGAAGCCACACATGCTTATAGCAGCAAATCTCAGTTGTTTTTAGATGGTAAAATTCACCGTGGTTCCCTAGGTTAGAGCTCAGTAAGTTACTTGGGCAAAGATGGGGAGAAGTGATTCGGAGGAAAACAGGTAAGTGGGTGACAGGAAGGGTCACAGCACACAGGCTTGATGGAGCCTTGCCAAAGTCGCAAGCTGTAGTAATTTTCCAGCTTCCAACAAATGTACTTGAACTATCAGGGGAGGTCACCGAAGCCCAAGTACTAGGGAATGGGAGTCACTCCACTTGGCTGGGGGTGGGCCCAGCTTGCATCTGAGAGTGGGCTGACTTTGACAACACAACTGACGTTATCTTAGCAAATCTTTGAGACAATTAAAAACAACAACAACAACAACAAAACTTGCTTACTTTAGATCTCACCTGACCTGACATGCAGGTCAATTCGGCAATTTCTAAGCTGCTTTCAGCCTGCATTTCTACCTCTCAAAATTCAGATCCAGTCAGCTTTCTTGCGTCTCCGTTTTTCTCATCTACAAGCATTTTAGAGGACATGTCCGCAAATCGTTAGTGGCACTGAGTTATAGCCTAGGCACTCAAGTCATAAAACTAAAATGTCACTTGACATTTGGATGGAAGGCCAGCCAGTGAAATTATGCTTAGGAAGCAAAATATCTGTGGCCAGACAGAGGAAATTTATATGCATTTCAGTGAAATTATAAGGAGAAAGAAATCCTAATAGGTTTCGCATGAGCCAAGGAAGGTAAAATGGAAATTAACTATATAACACCTGTTATTTCTAATTTGAAATATGTGGCAATGCCCTTCACGCGCATCTTACTGAAAGAAGCATTTTGTTTTCTTCTGGATATAAGGTGCCTCAGTCTCTCTCCTGGGAGCATTTTCATTTTCTCCTTTATTTCTCAACTGCTTTTCAGAATATCTACCCCTTTAAAAACAAACAGAACTTTAAAGATTTTAATGAGGATTTAAGCAGTGGTGTTCGCTGTGTGCCACAGAAAGCTGTGTGCCTTGTGAAAGCCTGCTCACTCAGCAGAGCTTGGAGAGAGACCGGGTTCCCCTGAAGCCCTGGCTTCCTTCAGCTCCGTCCTGTGGCCCAGCCACACCGCCCCTCCTTGGAGCCACTGCCCGGCACACTGCCCTCTGCTGTGCTCCTGTGCTTGTGCCCCCCAGGGGCGCTCATGGGCTGGGGGCTGCACACCCTCTCAGACGTTTCTGCCAGACCCTGGAGTCTGAGAAAGACCTGAAAGAGACGCCATCTCGTGTCCTCCATGTCCTGGGGACTTTGTGTCAGAGTCTTCTCATTCTTGGCAGGCGTTGCGTCTTGCTTCTGGGTGGGCTGTGGAGCCAGGGGCTAAATGAGGAGGCTGTAGTGGCTGCAGTGGCACCAGTGCATAAAGGGACGGTGCCACCATCGATTGGGTGTGCCCTCTGTGCCCAGGCACGCGCGCGGCCAGCCCCCACAGAAGTCCTTCCAACCTTTCCATGAGGACTATTGCTAGCTTCACTCCAAAGAGGGGGGAACTAAGGCAGCAAGGCTGCCACTGGTGTCACCATACTTGGTTTATATTGAGGACTAGGGTTTGGAAAATAGGTAGTGTAACATCAGGGTAACACACATGCTCTCAGGAAGGATGATGATAACGGCATATTTTTTAACTTAAATTCAACTTATGCTAAGAGCACCCAGCTTGGACTCATAGAGATCCTCCTGTCTCAGCCTCCCCAGGTCCTTGAGCTTGCTGGGCAGGCACTTAGGCTGCCGAGCTATTGCCCAGCCCCTGAGCTGTCCCTCTAAGAGACAATGTGTTTTTCTCGACTCTCAGCTGACAGTTCTTTGCCTCATTCCACATGTGGGAACTGTGAGTTCTTCCCTTGGAAAGTTTTGAAGTTGCCCTTGGGGAAAACCGGAAGTTCTTTTCTTTCTTCCTGTTTGTTTGCTTCCTTCTGGAAAACATCCTGGGCTGCTGCTGAGATCCTCCTTCCCCTTGAGACCTCCAGCCCAGGCCTGGTGTGGGTCCCCAGAGGGAGTCACAGCACATAGACGCCCCCTTGTCCCCAGGAGCTGGGCTACGCCGCTGCGAGGGAGACCGGTCAGCTGCCTGCACCAGCTGAAGAGCAGTCTCAGCGCCGGCCTGCTGTAGCGAACAGCTTGGTGCTTGGACTTCATAGCTAGCGCGTTTGATTCCCAGCCTGCAGGCCAGGCAGGCTCTTAGCTCTTAGGGTAATCTTACCGTCTTCTCCAGAATCATTCCGCTTCGGTAAACCAAGCATTTAAAACTACTCTTTAGCTTTTGGGTGAGTAAGCAAGGACACTTCTGTGGTCAAATACAGTGTCTAAAGCTGAACTGTCACAGAGAGTAGGAGGAACCAGAGGAAGACACGGGGCGGGTGGAGGTGCTGAGCAGGGGCAGCGGCCTCAGCGCTTTCCCCAAGATACGGAGCTCAAAACTCATGTTTTCTTCACAGACGCTTTAAAAATAAACAATTTGTACAGGAAGAGTCAAATACTAGATTAGCACAATCTCCATGTGAGATTTTTGACCTTTTGGCTCTAAGTCCTTCTGAGACAGCTTAATGGGAAGACTATTCTTATTTGTGTAACAAAAAGCTAATTTCAGATGAACGTTTAGATACTGCTGATTAATTATTGTTTCGAACGTGCTCTGCGTGCACGTGTCCGCTTTCCTCATTAATTATGCATGATCAGTTTCCAACATTTCACGTGCAACTTTCAATGAATAGTACAGACATTTAACTTGCATTCCAAGCAAAGATTTCCAAGTGGAACGGAAAAGTTTGTAGGGTGATTATAAAATAGAAACTTGCTCTTCTGGAAGTTTTGCTCACATAGAAAGTGTGTTTTCAAATAACAAAATCCAGTTTGTCTTTAACTTTTCAACCAAGTTGTAACACTTTCCTGAAATATGTTCTAAAGGACAACAAAAGCAACTATGGCTGACAGTTATTGCTATTTTTATTTAAAACTGACTCATGAAATGATACTAAGGACAGGAACCTTTGTCAGCTCGACCCTCTATTCTGCCTTTTTGACTCTTTCTCTATCCAGTTTTTGGTTTACTTCAGGCTGCAAAATCTGGAAATGTTGGCTCTTCTAACGAGGTTTGGTGACTCCAGGCTGGGGAGGACATAGAGCAAAGCCCAGGGCAAATGCTCCCCGAAGTCTGGGGACCCCTGTGTAGCCCAGCTGTGTGGTTGGGGCTCTCAGAGGAGCACAGTGAGCAGGCCAGACAGACACAGGTGCCTGGATGTTGTGGGCACCACATGGCCGCCACGTCCCCACAGCTACCAGCAAGCCACAAGAATGAATCAACCGGAATTGGGTGCTTCTAAAATTTGATTGGAGTTCTTTATCTCTGAGATCCCTCCGGGATCACTCTCAGTTACTTTTCTCTCATTGCTGGGATAAATACCTGACACCCAAAATGAAAGAAGGAAAGGTTGGTTTAGCTGTCAGTTACTGGAGGTTTCAGTCCATACTCGGCTGGCTCCAAGGTAGAGCGGCACAGGGCAGAGAACATCCTTTCATGACAGTGGCAAAGAGCAAGAGAGTGAAATGGAGGAGTAGCAGCAACAATGGCAACAGAGAGGAAGTCTGTCTGTCTGTCTCCCTTATGTTACATTCAGGCTATCCTCCTTAGGCCCATAATCCCTGCAGTACTCAGACCCATAATCCCAGAAGTACTCAGACTCATAATCCCAGCCTTGGATTACCCATGACCCCAGTGGATCTTGAGTTAATCACAAACTCTAGAAGTCTACCCCATGACTGCATGAGGCTTTGGGGGGACACCTAGAGATAAACCACAACAGTCACAATAACTAGGTTTACTGTTTTTGCAGACTATGAAATTAGAACATGCCCACTGCTGTCCCAGTGAAACCATGAGCAGCTCTCTTGTAATCCCCAGCCCCCAGGGTGTCTACTGACAGCTTGGGAAAGCCTCTGGATTGTTCTCTGTATTTAAGAAAGTATATGTCAAGATATATAAATATCCCACTTTTATAGAAATGATCAGCCTATATTTGGACATTTTGTTTTAAAAGTAACCATTGTGCCATAGAAACTCAGATTTGGAGGGAGATCAGTGTTTAGATTCAAATTGCCTCTGACATTTCTCTGTCACCATCAAAGTGAAAAAAGAGGTTGCCTTTGTGTACACAGCCATTAAGTGGCAAATCCAGATTTATTGGCTCAATCACCCACCAAATTAAGAGCTATTGAAAATCAATATAAAAGACCCCCCCCCACGCACACTTAGAGAAATGGGCAGAAGTCATGGGAAATAGCTCACAAAAAAGAGAAACAAGTGGAGCTTCAATATATGAAGAACTGTCCTGCAAACCTCACAGTGAGAGAAATGCAAATGAGAATTCTGGAATATCAGAAGTCACTCATCACATGGCAGATACTTAAAAGCTGGGGTGTTAGGCTGGGATATAGCTCAGTAGAATAAGTGCTTGCCTGGCAAGCATAGGGTCCTGAGTTCAATCCCCAGTACCAGATAATAATAATAATAATAATAATAATAATAATAATAATAAAAATTGGGGGTGGGGTCGAGGCTCCCCCTCCTACAGTGCTGGTTAGGGTCCTACACAGAAATTTGGTGGAAAAAACCCCGTAACAAAAGCAGATTCCTTCACCCTCCGAGCTAGAAAGCCTCGGTGAGGTCATGTGTGCAAAGGCCGCGATGCGAATCTCTTAAGAGATCGAGTTCCCAAGCTGCGACCCACAGCCCGCTTATTTATCCCAGAGTACCAGGCCTGCAATTAGACCTGAATGCTAAAGATTCAGTTCAGAAAAAACAACTCATATATTAACATCTTTTGTCTTAAAAGAAAAATGAGTAGCGGCCGCGCCATCTATTCACTGCCTCTGCTCCCGGGTCTGTGTGACAAGTCCGAAGCTGTACACCTGTGCATGAACTTAGTCGCGGGCTGGTCCCCAGTGTCCCAAAATGCCACAGCCTAATCCACAGGACCTGAGTGACAAAACTCATACCTCTATGCTCAGGAAAACAAGAGAGCAGCCCCCAAATGACATGACTGTTGGGAATAATCTCTCAGAGGGAGTTCCAGGATGCAGCAGGTGTGGAGGGCCCCTTTGCAAAGAAAAACGTAAACTAAAGCTGATGATTATCGTGGCAAGTGGATGCGGCCAACGTAGAAGAAATAGGAACGAGGCTTTGGAAAACTGTAATTTTGACTTTTGGAATAGATATTTTATATTTTAATTATATAAATCAAGCCTAATAAAAAATTATATGCAGAATCAAAGGAACCCAGCCATATGTCAGACTGATACTAGAAACACACAGATGTGGGAAGAAAGCCTCCTTCCCATAGACGCGAGGGTGCAGGGGAAGGTGAGTCTGGAAACCAGACATTAATATAGTGTCAAAGGACCGCCACCAAAGCTGTTTGATTATGGGGATGGGGAGGGGATGTTTTTGGCCTAGATGTGCTGGCCAATCCCTTTTTTGGCTGAGGTAAAGTATGCAGAACATCAAATGCACCCCTGTAACCATGTCTGGGAATTAGCCATTTGGCGGCATGATTGCATCTGCGCTGTGCAACCGTGGTGGCGGCTGCCGTCGAGTCCAGGCACCCTGCCCTCTGTGCCTGCAAATCATCAGCCCCCGCCCACTGGCTGAGGAGCTGCAGCGGGGAGCCTGGTGCACGTTTGCTGGAAGGTTCACCCGGGTCTCGCAGGAGAGAGCTGTGGGGCAACTCCAGACGCGGCACACCTGACACAACCCAGCCAGGTATCCAAAAGTGTCGACCACAGGTGAGACTAAAAGGAAGCAGGAAGACGGCTTTTGGTTAGCAGAAACAAAATTTATGACAGCCAACTGCCCTCGGAGGCTTGATTGGATTCCGGATTTATCAACAACAACCAAAGAGAGATAAAGCACAGTGGGGGAGCACTGGGGGAGTGGGGTGTGCTGCGTCTCTTGTACACACCTCACTGGGGTGGGGCAGAGGTGGAGGGTGCTGTGCGTGAGACTGTCTTTGTTCTTAGGAGGAACATGCCCAGATGAGATGCTTTGAACAGTTTCTCAGATCAATGAACAAATAGATTGACTGCAGCTACACACACATAGGATAGAAAGGGGAGAGGAGGAAACTGAATACAAAGTTGAGAAAAAAGCAGGCAAAACAAGGTGAGACTAGAGTAAAGTACTTTGTTAAAAGAATTATAGAAAGTTAATGTGACAGCTTTAATAAATACAGGCATTTTCAGTTAGCACTTTGGGCTTTTACTCCTTTTCCTCATGCGTATTTTAACCTAGGTCATGAAACTACATGAAGTCTTCGCCCAGAACTCCCTGTCCTCTTTGGTTCTTTTGGTTATGCTTTATGCAATTAGTTTATGTTGTTGGTTGAGGTCAGCAATCTCGCACTAAAGTTTTAGAGCCTTAAGAACGATAACGTGGCGAGGTTTTCAAGCCCACTTGAGGTGGCTTCTCTCTGCACATACAGCGCGCCCCCCTGGGTGCACTGTCCATCTGAACGGTGCTTCGCTCTGGGCAGAAGAGAAGGCAGCACTCACCCACACCGGGGACCAGCCCAGGACCAAGGCCTGTGCTGCCCCGAGTCTCCGCTATGCTGCGCTCACATCTTTCTTTCAGGAGGTGAAATCGACTGTGTGGACAAAGATGGCAACACGCCCCTCCACGTGGCCGCACGCCACGGCCACGAGCTCCTCATCAACACCCTGATCACCAGTGGAGCGGACACGGCCAAGTAGGTCCCCAGCAGGTGGGGTGTTGCCTGGGTCCCGTCCCGGCCCTTAGGCCAGAGACAGGCCAAATTCGAAGCACACTGAGTGACTTTGGCTGACAGGTGGAGGGAAGAGCCAGTTTGTCCCGCAGCTGTGGCGGAGGAAGGCCTGCTTCGGTGGTGCAAAGTAGGAGTCGCAGTTCACTCCAGTGCCTTTCTAGTACTCTTGCCTTCCTCCCCCGTGTCCGCTGCTAAACGTGAGAAGTATCTGGGAAAACTCAGGATGCAGGCAGTGTGGATTGTAGGTGGGGCAGAGGGCAAGCCGGCTGTCACAGGCCCGCCACCTGTGGCCTGCCGCCTGTGGCCTTGGCCTGGCTTGGTGGCCCTGGGTTTGAGGCCACAGGAGGAGGCCAAGTCTTTGGGAAGTCCAGAACTAATGGGACCCCAACCCTGAGGACAGAGCTGCAGGAAGTGAGGCGCAGGTCCCAGAAGCAGCCTTGGGACCTGGCTAGTGCGGGGACAGAGTGGGCAGCTGAATTAGGAAAGCCAGGGCTGGGGAGGAGAATGCGGCAGCCGGGCAGGATGCAGGGAGAGTGAAAGGGTTACACTGAAGTCTGCTCTGAGGAACCAGGGGGTGATGGCAGCAGACTCTGAGGAGAAGGGGTGATGGCAGCGTGTTCTGAGAAGAGAGCACGTGGGGGTGCAGGTGCTGAGGAGGGCCAGTGCCTTTGACACCCCGTACTGAGAAGGGTATGTGATGATGTCATACTCCAAGAGAGGGAGGTGTGATGATGCTGTGCTTTGAGGGGTGCAGTGACATCATGGCCTGAGGAGGGGTGTGATGACATCAGATTCTGCGGGGAGAGCAAGTAATAGCTCCAGGCTCTGAGGAGGCGGGGTGCTCTGACTGCCTTTTCTGAGGAGAGGGGCTGTGATGATCTCACACTCTGAGGAGGTTGAGGTGACATCTTGTCCTGAGAAAGGGTGAGAAGGTGTCACGCTCTGCCCAGGGACCCCATGCAGCAGCTGCCACCCAGGTCTGCCCTACTCTCCCTGTGTGCCCTTGAGCCCATTGCTCAGCCCCTCGGAGTTTCGATTCCCTCCGGTGGAGAATGGGTCTGTTAGGTGGGTTACGGACCCCGCTGCTCACCCTGCTTGGTGAGGCGTGGGTGGGTACGGGTCCCGCACCCATGCTCAGGTGAGAGCTGTTCTACAGCTGTTCCTCAGCGACTGTGGTACACAAGCTTTGCACAGTGCCTGCTAGGCTATCCGTAAACACTGTCATCTCATTGCTTAATATGTAATAGGATCAGACCACAGAGGGCCCTAAATGCCTGAATGCAGGTGTTAGCCTCGACCCCAGGGCCTGCGGGGAGGGAACTGGACAACCTATGGCAGTGGGTGTTAGGAATTCTGTTGTCACTGTGGGGTTCAGAACCAAAAGTCTCCCCAGATCAGTCAGCACACAAATGGCTCGTGTGGTCACGCTGGGCAGCAGGGTCCCTGAGGCACGGGCGTCTGCCTGGGCATGGAGCGTAGGGCTGTTGACCCCATCAGCTGAGCCTCAGGGACCTCGGAGTACAGTCTGGTGGCCAAGCTGGTACAAGAGCAAACTGTAGAGCTGTGTGTGTTGTCACCGTGGTGGCTGGGAGCAGGCTGACTCTGGGCTTCCAGAAGAGGGAGTGTCAACAGGAGGAATGCTGTGCCAGTCTGCAGGTGGGCAGCATGTGGAGTAGAGGAGAGGGGAGCATGGGAGGACCACCCGTGAGGAGAGAACAGCCTTGTGATGACCCACACATGCCAGTGTGTGGCAAGTGGCTCCCAAAGCCAGATAATCTGGAAAGAAACGGGGTGGAAAAGCAAGAGGAGCTCTACACCAAGGGACATGTCCCTCCTGGAAACTGGATTCCATCCTAGGCTGTCCAGAAACTGCTAATGAAGTCAAAGAGAGCCGGGCAGGCCCTATGTGGGAACTACACCAATGGCCATCCACACAGACCGGAGGCCACACAGGCTGGGAGCCCAGGCTAAGGTCCCAGGCAGAAGAGATGAGGTCTTAGGCCAAAGACGACGAGCACAGGATGGGATGATGGCTGACAGGGCATCCCTTTCAGAAGAGGGAGGAATCCACCTCGGGCCAGAGCTCTGCTTAGTGAGTGAAAATGGGCCACCCTTCTGGGCTCTGCCAGAAGTCCCCGCCAGCTCAGCTCACCACAGCTGGAAAGCAGAATGCCTGGGCTTCAAGCCAACCCTGCCTGCCATATATAATATTTTCAGTGGTATAGTTTTCAATCTTGCCTTAATTGGGGAAGCTTTTGGTAAACAGCCATAGAAATTTTCTGATATTTTCCTCCAGATTTAAACCCATTTTAGGGATTAAAAAATAAATGGCCCACTGTACACTTAGAATTTCCGGGAACCCCACATAATTCAATGAGCACAGAGTTTCTTTCCTTGTAACCACTTAGCTTTTCAGGCAAACCTGCTCTGCAGTCATGGTGTGGTGGGAGCAGCTCAGCTGTTCAAATAGCTTTTCCCTCCATCGGCTGTGTGGAAGGGACACAGATAAGGAGTCCTGTGCCAGCCTTGTCCCTTAGCTGCAGAAAAGGCATTGATTGTGAGTGTGTGAGTGTGTGTGTGTGTGTGTGTGTGTGTGTGTGTGCATGCATGCACTTGTGCCTGTGTGTGTCTATGTCTGGGGTGGACAACTTAGAGAAACAGGAATGCGGCGGAGAGGAGCGGGAGGCCTGCCCTCTAGTGCCACCGCCCTGACTTGTTGGCACCGTGGAATCACAAATACCTGTGCAGGTGCTGGGGCCTGGCGGAGGTGTGCGGGGACGATGGGCTGAGCCAGATATGTTCTTATGTCAGCTGTTTTCAACTATTATTACAAAGAGCAATTTAAAAATTCTCATAGAGAACTCTCAGGAGGCCAAAGCTATTTCTAGTGACCCCAGATCTGCACTTCTTTGAAAAATGTGGCGAGAGGCAGAGAATTTCAGGCAGAGGGACCAGCACGTGTAAAGCCAGGAGCAGGAGCAGGTGCTCAAGGGGACTGGAAAGGAGGTCACCGAGATCCTCCGTGACCTCAGCTCAGGCTGTGGTCAGACCCAGGAGGGGCTGTCACACTGTATTAGGGCGGGGACGTGCTCGGAAGGAGCGCCTGACAATATGTGCCACAGATGGAAGGACCTGGGCTCGCTGATGTCAGCTGTACTTGTGCACTTGAGATGTAGGGTGCAGAGCACAAGCGTAGGGTGGCCCAGCTGAAGCTCAGATGTAGGGT